GAGCCAGTGACAGCCCCCGGGCAGGGCTGAGCCCCCCGGGCAGGGCTGAGCCCCCCGCTCGCCGGGAGCCGTGGTGGGTCTCGGCAGCTCCGGCGGCGGCTGTGGGTCTGCCCCGGCTGTCCCCAGTATTGCAGCTGACTCTGATTTTCCGAGCGCTTCTTAACTCACCTCCCTCCGAGCTGCGGGAGCGAAGCTGAGCCGAGACGAGCTGTGCCAAGCTATTCCAAGCCAAGACGAGCTCACTGAGCTGTTCCGGGCTCCCATGCGGCTGTCCACACCCCTTGTCCCACGCTGTGCTCCCCAAAACCCACCCTAGGGGCTGTGCTTGAAGCGGGATGCGGGACAGGAGGGGAACACCTCACTCGCCGGGTACCCGAGGTGACCTATAGGTGCAGGTCCCCATCCTGGCTGCCCCATGTGCTCGTCCCGTCGTGCCAACCCTGTGCCGGCAGCCGTGCCCTGGAACAGCCTGGTGACGTCCCAGCCAGGGGTCCAAGGCCGCTGGCCACCAGTGACAGCCCCCAGTGACAGCGCATTCCCTCCTGTCATCACCACGTGCAAAGCAGCACATGGTGCCCCTCTCCTCCCCCCAGAGGGGGCACAGAGAGATTTTTCGGGCCACACAGGACCCCTCCGAGCTCCCTGGGGCAGGTCATCATCCACCCTCTCGTCCCACATGCCAGTGAGCTGCAGGGCTCCTTTCCACCCGGGGTGCTCTGGGTCTGCATTACCTGGGAGGGACGAACGGGCTGGGGACCGCTGAGGACCAGCAAACTCATTGCTCCAGAGTGGACCACCCAGGGGGCTGCAGTGGATGTGTCCATCAGTGTCCTGGGGTGTCCAGCCGTGCCCAGGGACAGTACATTCGGGTTAATATTCTCTCTACCCCTCGAATTTCTCCCTCCTGTTTCCCTTCTCTGCCCCCAGCCCCCCTGAGCCTCTCTCCCCACTCCTTCCATCCAGCACTGCTGCATTTCATTCCTGAAGGGTTAATGATCAGACAACAAAGGAGCCATTTCAGACCCCTTTGGCCTCACTGTAGGAAACCAGGAGTAATAACTGAGGGAACCAGGAGTAATAATGGTTGGGATCACTTTAGGTTTTTTTTCTAATTATGAAATAAATTGAAAAATTACACATAAAATGCATAAATTGCAGCATCTGGCTCAGCCTAAATTTCCATAGACAACCCAACCTGCAGCATGGCATTACCATCAGGAGTTTGCAAAGGCTGGGGGGCCCATGTGGACATGGTGATGCTGCTGCCATCCCAAGACAGGAAAATAGGGCTAGGGAAATGGTGTTGGGCATATCAGAGTATCTCCAAATCCTGGCTGCAGGCAGCTGCACTGGTGTGGATGCCAAAGGGCAAGGAGCTTCCAGAAGTCCTGTTGGGTGCCAGCCCAGCTGCCCTGGAGCTGGGAGGGAATTTCCTTGTCCAGACCTGGAAGGCAAACACTGGGCAAGGGCCAGGGAAGCACCTCATTCCCGGTCACGCTCTCTGGCTGCCGGCATGGGTGAGCGGATGTCGGCGCAAGCCTCGCCAGGGTGACCCGTCACAGGAAGAAGCGCTAATTAGACAGCTCTCGTTAGTGCAGGATGCTGAGGGCACCACTGCTCAGCTCATCCCCAGCTGTTTAGGATCACAGGGGATTTGCCAAGGGTGGTACAGCCACTGTCCCCATGCCCCTGCTGCCGTGTGCCAGGAATCCCTGAGAGAGCAGAGAAATCCACACGTTTCCCTTAACTTGTGACAAATCCAACTGTCGGTGGGAGCAGAGGCGGTGTCTGCTGTTTAACTGGGCACCTGGCAGCCCTCTCTTGTGCTGGGAGGGGTTTGGGGGGCTGTGGGGAGAGGGAAGCCCAGCCGATGATGCCAGGTCAGCGGTGACTCAGGGATGGTGTCGGGGAGAAGTGAGGCTGGCGGCTCCCGGCTCCTCACGCAGCTCCGCTCCACGCCAGCACAGAGGGAATGAAATGTTCCTCCTCCGTCTTCCAAAGCAGAAAGGAGAAAGTGTCCAGAAAGATAATTTGGAAAGTTTGTTTGACACTTGAGCACACTTTCATCTTTGGAAAAATCTTGGTGACCTTCCAAAGCTGCACCGCCTGCTTCCCGGCACGGCTGGCGCCCCAGGGCACACGCCCGTGGCACCATCCCAATGGCTGCTTTTGGGATGCTCAGGGCTCTGGAGGGGACAGTGCGGTCCCGCCGGGCCCACAGGTCACCAGGGATGCTGTCACAGAGGTGGTGGCACAGGGATGCAGGTGCTGGGATGTAGGTGCAGGGATGCAGCTGCTGGGATGCTTCTAGCAAAGGTAGTAATGTGAAAATTAAATGTCTGGAGCTGGCTAGCAGCAGGAGGAGACAGGAAGGGGCAGGGGGATGGAGAGAGCCCCTGAATGAGGGCAGGGTGTCTCCACAGGTGCCATGAGCTCCCAGCAGCCGCGAGGGCTGGGAGGGGTCTTCCCCAGTGCATCCCAGGCGATGAATGTGGGTTTCATCAGGGGAGGGTTTGAGCTGATGGTAGTGGATAAGGAAGAAAAATACTTGGCATTCCTCTCCCATCATAACAAGCCCAGATGCTTGGACGGTGGCAGCCCACTTCCCACAGGAATGGAAAGTCACAGCTGCTCTCGCGCCAGTTCGGCAGAGGCCCTTTCCCTGCTCTTATGAAATGCCAGCTCCATCTCACACTGCACCGCAGCCCCTGCTGGCATCCCGTGACACGGCTCCCTCCGTCAGCCGGGTCCCTGGTGGTGGCACTGCCCGTGACCCCGCTCCAGGAGAGGCAGAGCTCGGAGCAGGGAAATGTGCTGGGAAAGGCCAAGTAACACATTTAATGCTGGCATGGCTGGTGCTCCGTCCCACATGCCAACATGTTGGGAATACCTGGACTAGCACAGCCCTGCAAGGGAGGAGTTCTCTGGAGAGGCTGATGCTGTGGGAAGAAATTAATGGGAAGCAGCTCCTGTCTGGTCAAAGCTGGTGGGAGCAACGCCAGTCCTGGCAGCCCAACTGATCACCTCCCAGGCCAGCACAGAGACAGTGAGGTTCCTCAGTGCTGGGGTGCCATCAGCTCTCCCAGATGAGAAGGAAGGCGTGAAGGTGGCTGATTTTAGTGCTGACATTGCCAAGTGCAGCCTGCAGCATGCTCATGGCACATCTGCTCTCCCCTCCTCCTCCTCTTCCTCCTTTTCCTTCTCCTTTTCCTTCTTCTCCTCCTCGTCATGCCACACTCCAGCCATTCCTGGGTTTGTGCCACCCGCCATTCCTGCTATTCTCAGGGAATGTGGCATCCCAAGAGGCTTAAGATTTGCCATAAATCAAATCCTTCATCCCAGAGCGAGCTCTGGAGCTCCATCTCTCTTCTTGGCTCCTCTGGCTTGCTCCAGCCCTGGACGCCAGCGTGGCTGCACAGCCTTCAAGTGCTCCAGCTGCCAAAACAGGAGCAAAGCCCAAAGAGGGACTTGGCATCAAGTGGTGCTGAAGGCCGAGGGGCAGCAAGAGCAGGACAGGGAGCCGGGAGGAAAGGGAAGATGAGCAGTGAGATGGGAGGGAAGGCTTGGTGTCGAAACTGAATTCCTGGTCCATGTCAGCAGAGCAGATTTCCAGTGTTTATTTTATCTCTTTAGTTGAGCCCCTTTGAGGCAGAATATATTAAATGGCCTGACTTTATATAATGGAAATAATTGAAACAATACTCCTGCTTCCAGCCGCAACGTGCCGTGATTTCAGCCAAGAGTGGCCAGCCTCCTCGAGGTGGTGGGGACAGCCGCTGCCGCCGCTGGCGCTTGTTCGCTGGTTATTGTTGACACATGTCAGCGTCGCCTTCCAATTTCCGTACAGCTGTCAGAGCGGGGAGAACACCCGGCGGCTGGCGCGGGGTGGGCTCAGCACCGGCCAGCACCGACGGGCGCTGGGAAGAACGGCATCCCCACACTGGGCTCCTCCGCTCTGCAGGTGGTTATGGCTGAGCTGGGATGTCCCAAGGGGAGGTGGTGTTGGGGCCACGCTCTCAGGTAGCCAGGAGATGAGGATGGTGGAATGTGGAGAACCTCGGGAGGATGGAGGAGGCACTTGCTTGCTGCATGAACCGTTGAACCGTGACCGCAGTATTCACTGGAGAAGGTGAAAGGAGGAGATGAACGTGTAGGCTGGGGGTTGTTGAAGGTTTTATCCAACTCTGCCCCAGCAGTGGGTGACATTGGGGCAGGGAAAGGTCCCCAGCCCCAGTATCCCTGTGAGAAAGCACTTGCACCAAGCACCGTCCTTGAAGCCAATGTCAATCTCCATCCCACACGAGCCACTGAAACTCTGTCACTGAAAATCTGTCATCTCTCCTTGAGCGGAGCTGAAAGGATGAAATGAGTGAACACGGTGGCGAGGAGTCACCAACACTGAGCCAGGCCATAAACCAATTCCCATTTGTGGGCACCACAGGGTTCCTGGGAAGAGCTGGCAGGAAGTGATAGTGAGAGCAACAGCAGGCAAAGTCTTCGAGGAACTGAGACGTGGTGTGAAAAGTACCCCAGAATCTCCTCCTGCCATCGCAGCCACTTCCCCGGCTGTGCACAGTGGGCACTCAGGGAAGGGCTCTCCAAGGAAAGGCAGGAGATGGGACTTGTAGTGCAGGATGGGGAGCTTGGGGTTTGGGGCAGCTGGATTGCAGATTCCTTTGCTGTAGGGAGCTGGAATTCCCCAGATGA